TTCAATAAGGTATTACATGAATTGCACACAAATGGCTTGAATATACTGGTTTTTTGTACAATTTACTATTGGTACTATCTTACTAAGTTATAAAGTTACCATCTGTAACTTTAGCAAGCTAAGGGTCTGGAATTGATTGAAATAAAGGGTCTTTCAAATAAACTTCTAATCCAGAAAAAGAGTTACAAGAGAGTCTTCAACTACTTTGGTAACATCATTAAACATTGATAACATCATTAAACATAAGAAACCAAGAAATGTACTAACCGATCTTCAACAGCTGTAGCACCAAGTAAAATGAAATCTCTTTCTATCTTCTCATATACTTCTGCCAATTTCTTTTCCCTGTCCTGAAGGGCCAACTTTGCATTCTGAAGCAGCTTCTGTGCCTTGCTATATTCTTCTGCTGTGAGCTTTTTATATGCAACACACAACGTTCGCAGTCCCTCCTAAAGAATGTAACCAAAATAAACAAAATGCCTCTTAGAAAACTATTCGTAGACTTATTGCTGGTGTGTACGCTGGAATATCTGAAAAATTTGAATGATTTTACTATTAACATAAAGAGTCCCACTACTCACTTTTATAGCAAAGTGAGTATAGACTTCATTTTGGTGAAGTGAAAACTAGAATTCAGCTGTGGGTGTTTCAGACTGGATGAGATTTTTAGAATGTGTGATGAGTAAGAGAGGGAGTATATTGACTCTGTAAGGTGAGAAAAAGCTGGTATAACACAGAAAGTTTTGCCACCTTGAATATATTGCCTTTCACAACACCATTTAACTGGCATTTTATGTTCATAAAATCTAATCCAGCAGGTCTTTGTATAGCTACTTATTGCCAATCCAGAAGAAGTATTAATAAAAAAGCTCCCTGACTCTTGCTATTGATAAGGGCAGGTGCCAGGTGGCTGCCTGTATCTTTTTTCACATGCCTGTAATAATACTTTGTTTTCATTTTGAGAACTGGACACCAGCAAATTTTATCCTATTTATAAAACTGTCAGTCATATTCCATTGCAATGGGTTCTGCATATTTTTGGACAAAGTAAAATTCAGTATTTTACAACTCCAAATACAACCCTTTAGGTAAAATCAAGTTCTGAATTTCTTTTAAAGGTGATCAGGCATTTCAGAGCTCATTTTTAGCAAGCAAAAAAAGTAAGTATAAGTGCAGATCACTGCACTGTTTTCCTGTAAGAAGCACATTTGTTGCTACACTGTGCTCTAATGGATTTTCTCCTTTAAAAGTTTGCAAAGCAATTAAAGGCAGCAAATTACAATTGCTAAGGCTAGGAACTGAAAGCGGGGATGAGTTTTTCAGTGAAGTCTTTCACTTTTCTTTCATTCAAAAGTTAAGTCAAACCACCACAGTGAAATACTAAAAAGCTAATTGATGACCTCTGGTATAACACACAGTTGTGCATATCTAATGCACTCATATCTCACCACAACTGCCATTTGGAAGACGAAATGGAGGACAGATTCAAATAAGGAAGTAACACAGACAGTCACCCATGTAGCCCGTGTGCACTTTGGCATAAAATAACCTCAGTGCTGGGGAAGACAAATCCGTTACCCAGAGGTCAGAACACTTAATTTTTTTTGAGGCTGATACCACATGAACAGATCAGTAAAATTGAATCTTACCACTGCATTGCGTTCAACTCTGGATCGTACTTGGTCAATTTTGCCTTCTTTAACTCTAGGAAATATGGAAGAATCTGCTCCCTTACAAAACAGAAATATATCACCTAAAAGAGACAGAATATGGAATTCAAAATGGCCAAATACCTCTTTCTTCAAAAAAAACACCCAAATTACTAAGATTTCTTTCAATTTTTTTGTAACATGCACTTATGCTGGTATCCAGTCCCCTTTTTTAGAAAGAAAGGCACACAGACTGCAATTAATGCTTAACTCTTTGATAAACCTGAAACAAATTCAAGTGAAACAAAAACATCTAACAAGAAACAGAATGTAGCAGCCCTACCTGTTGAAGATTTAACAATCACACTCATTCGCCGTCTCACAGAATCAAAACTCAAAACCTCTAATAATTCAAACCTGAAACAGAAACAGAATATTTATTTAAAAACCATGCTTTTCCAGATCCCTAAACTGGTTATTACAACTTCAAGAATATAAACTAAAACATGACTTCTAATTTGGAAAATTATGTTGAGTACTATGCAATATGGAACTAGCACAGAGTGAAACAGCAGGTCAAAAATAGTAAATAGGGGAAGGCCTCAGCTCCTAATTACTTGAAACAGAATTTGTCTGCATAATGTTCATCAGTATTTTTGGATGTAGAGTCAATATAATTTATTTAAGCAGAAGACTAGAAACCTTGCAGTAGAGCACTATACTGCTTATAAAGTAAGTAAATTCCTACCTGTAATATCTAGGCATAGCCATAGAACTTGAAATGCTTATGTGTTTACAGGGAAGTCTTTATTTAATATTTTTCTAATTTTGACTATTCCTATCTCCCAGAAGTGCCCAGCTAGTTTCACGAATCTTACTCAAGTGTTGACTGACAAATTACTCAAGAGAAAAAACATTTATTTTTACCGGTTTTATATTTGCCAATGTTTTTATGATTTGATTTTATCCCATGTTCCTTTCCTTTCTATGAGCAAAAATGAACACAAGCTCCTGTTGTACTGTTTCTGTATAATTCATCAGTTTACATACTTCTATGATTTACTCTCTCAACTATTTCCTTTTGTCTAAGAGAGCTCCCCTTTTTCCAGCACAAACATAAGCATCCCAATCATTAATGCCAATCTCTTCAGGATTCATTTCTGTCAATATTTTGTTTATAAAATAGATCTACTTATTTAATTAGATCATTCAGTTCTAGGCCCTTACAACAGCCTGGGATTCAAACCTGTGCAAGGCCACAGTGTCTCATTAAAGGTTATAACAGATTCTAACAAGGAGCTGGATCAGGCCTATGTCTACAAACTGATGCATTTTGGAGAAAATTCCTAATAATTATGGGTGCTTTCATAAATCACCAAATTATATTGCTTCCAGTTCTTATGAGTTGAGCCACAGAAGTCTGAAGTAACCTTCAAGGAAAAATCCTCCATATTCCCCTTAAAAAGGGGAAAAATAACAGCCAGGTTCCTATATTTGTGTCCAAGAATCCCTGTGTAGTTAGCAGAGTACACATGCAGGAAGACACAGATATACAACAGCCTTAACCAGCAGACATCTACAGAAATGTAAGGTAACATTTTCAAAACTACATACATCTTATTTAACAGCTTTGTTACTGAAAATTTTACTAATATTATGGTCTAAAAGATTTATTCTACATGTCAAAGGAAAATGACAAAAAAACTCAGTACCTGTTTTAAATTTTCTTTGAACCAGCTATAAAAATTTATTCTATAGATACTACTCCACTGTAAAGTATATGGATTATTTCTGAACAACACAGTGGGTACATATAATTTTCTATTAAGAAATTATTATTTACCATACAACAAAGGAAAAATACCCATTGTTTCTAGAACTATTTGGAACTATTAGATTAGGTCATGAACCCCACATCACACCTTTGCTGTTATATTAATATTTTGTATTGCATATACTGTCAAACTAACACATTAAGTGAAACTACAGAACTATGGGGTCTATTAAAATTATAAATATTAGTAGATAATTTATTTTTCTACTAGAATGTACCATTTCTGACTCTTCTGAATTAAAAATTTATGTATAAGGAAAGAAGGATTTATTAGACACATCAGTAAAATCTCTTCATCAGTGGATTTTGTTATATTTTTAACCACTCACTTCTCTAGGTTATTTTCCCGATTTAAGATCTCCATAAAATTGTCCTTCAGCCTTAGATATGTGTAACCAAGTCTGTAAAATGAAACACATATGAAGAGAATGCATACAAGTACATAATTATCCAGTTTAAGCATGTCATAAGGATTTGAGACTGAGCTTATCTTCTGAAAAAAATAAACCAAACCCAAACTTTTGACTTATGAATATGAATAATCATGACTGTAAGTTAAGAAAATCATCAGCTCTAGATGACTTGGTGCTTGTTATTACAATTTTTGTGCTGAAAACAATTTTGAACATCAGTGATTAGGTTTCTAGATTTAAAACGTATAGTACCTAATTACACACATACCTCTGTATTCCCTCAACTAAAGCAACTTCATCAGGTGATGAGGAAATATATATACAAGATCTTCTTGAGAGCTGGTTTTTCTTCAAGCCATCCACGCTGTCATCATCTTTTACCTGAACAGTATGGCAAAGACAAAGAGCTCGGAAAAATAGTTCCTCTCTCTCCTAAAAAAATAAAAGGAATGGTTATCATTAGGTGTGATCACTTTCAAGTAATCCTTTGAAAACTTTTATTTCGGAAGGTTAGAAATGTCATCAACTACTACTAATAATCAGATAAAGGAAGTGTCACAGGTCACCTGCCCTTTAGGGGGAGCCAAGTCTTTCCAGGTGGTAACAGCACAACTGCTTAATAGCTGCTAGTGGTACTGCTAGCATTGCCATGCAAGTCAAGTTGCTGATGCCCAGAAAAGTCAGCGTGCATCTTTTGCCTCCTCGAATGCCTTGATGAGGCTAAAGGTTTGTTCTTTACTTTTTCTTAAACTTTAACAATCTGTATTAAACACTATTTAAGGTACAATTTTATGAGTCCTGAGTCCAGACAGAAGGACACAGTACCTGGAGCACAAGTGTTAACAGGCTTTAAAGATTTCAATTTCTTGCACAGCTTGAGTGTCTTTTAGATCTATATAAAATAAAAGGAGTGTGGAATTTTGGCAGCTGGAGCCAACTTCTATAAAATTTCAGATAGTCTGGTAATGACAGCTTCTGACACCAGAAAGAGATTTCTATTTCATGGATACCTGTCTGTGTTCTACCTGTATCTTTGTGTCTGAATCTTAATTCTTCTGTGCTGTTCAATACAAACTGTCAGTGTCATTGTAATTCAAAGATAACACAGTGTACCTTGGGACCACATTCTGAGGGCCATGGATGAGAGCCATAAGGCTGTTGAACTACACCAACATATTTTAAGAGGCCTTGTTTTGCCATAGTGAAGAGTATGGCAGAAGTATGGTTCAAGACTGTATTGATATATTTTAAAATATCTTGTCCTTTGGCTATGATTATCCTTGCCCATTTACACCCTGCTCATCAGTTGACACGTGAAGTCTCCTTAACTTTCAACTAACTTTGGTTTACACACAGCAAAAAAGCCACAGCACATACATGCTGTGTGCAACATATTTCACATGTGGCTATATTAAGTCACATTTAAAAGTAATTTAAGTTGATCATAAACCGTTCTATGGCCATGTCTTCACTCAGTGATGACTAAGTAAGTATTTGCACTGAGCACTCATTTTTCTCCTTAAGGAGTTTCCTGCCTTGCTTTCCCTATTGTAACTAATGTTAAATGGAAAGCAGCCATTCTGTTTCTTTAGCTATTAACCAGAGAAAGTTCTATATTTTGGGGTTTTATTTAATTCAGTTTTACAGCTGCAGCAAGTTGGGAACCTTCCTATTAAGCCTTTAAATCTTACTCTAAACTAGAAAAGCAAAACATCTATGTTGTGATGCATTTCCTGCAGTTATCTACTTTAATTACTGAAATTCAAGGATGTTTTATTTCTAATATTCCCTTCATCAGCACAGTTCAATTTTCATGTTTCATTGTGAAAAACAAGAACCTAAAAAGTCATCATACCTTTCCACTTCCTCCTGGAGAAGAATCGATCATATCAATGCCTGTACAATCATGGAGAATTTGGCCATTGCAAATAACATGTGGTACATAAACGTGCCCTTCAATGCAACACTCTACGAACTCCATGTTGTTCTCAGTTAATGTTCCTGTTTTATCTGTGAAGACATACTCAATCTGCAAATGAGCACAAATTAAAAACAGGAGGAATATGAACAGAGTTTTTCCAAGGTCTCTTAACAAAACGGACATTATTACTGGGTTACACCACCCTTTAAAGATCCATTTGCAGGCTCTTTCAGAAAAGGAAGACAACTATTTCATTTGGGAGTCATGTCCCACAGAAATATGGGCCCTGAAAGATCTTATCATACAAGAGTATCAGCAAAGCTATCTTTTGCCTCGTAACACATAAATAATACGTTTAACCTACTTTCACTCTTCTCTCAAGCTTCTTTTTGTTTTTTAATGTCTTTCTTGCTGTAAGAAAGACATTTATGGAAACAAAATGCACACAAATTCCATTTCCCAGGGACCATTATTTAATGTACATGACTGGATTTGGATCAGTTACTGTCAGAATGGTCCTTAGGGTAGTATCAGAAGTCTCCACTACAATTACATTAGCTTAAATGAGGACTGTGGACTAATGGTCACATACAGTTATACACATGGGCACTGCTACTGCCCTCGAAACATTTATTTTGTCTCAATATTGAATTTTTCATTAATTTTATCTCTTACAATGAGCCCCAGCATTTAAGGATAACAACATCAAAAATAAAACCAAAACCTGAACCAAATACCAGAACAGCTAGATCAGTAGAAGCTCAATTTTGGATACTTGATATAGGTACTATATACAGATTGCATGCATTTATTTGATAAACCGAGAGCATTATGTAAGGTTAGGAATTAAACACTGGAAGTAAGGCAACTATTTAGTATTCATCAGATTGTTTAACAAACTTCAACATTTATCAAGTGCATCAAACAAAATAAAAAACATAAGAGAAGCTATTAAATATGTGACCTTTCCTCCTAGACTGACTTTTCTAATATTCATTAATCTGGAAAGGCAAGTTTACAAATTTTCCAGTTGTTTGTTATCTGTGGACACAATACCCTTATTCAACTTTTTTCGAAGTGTACTGGAGTGATATGGATTTCTTTAATCTCAACTCCTATATTCAGGGTCATAATACATTTTATACAAAATACAAAATACTATCAAGCAAATGTCTTTTATTCATTCAGTTGGCTGCTTTGGGATCAACACCCATTACATGAAAAAAGGAATAAAGCAGGTATATCACTATGACAGTATTTACTACAACGGCAAATAAGGATTCACAATCAAAGCCTTCATTAGAAATACAGTGGATCATATCTTTCAAAAATGTAGAAGCAAAATTTAGTCCATTGGATTGGTACTAATAATGCCAAGTACTGCTGATGGTCCCATTCTAGGGATGACATTTAAATTTAGTAATAGAGAGTTATTTTTTATAACAGAATCACAAAATGGTTGAGGTTGGAAGTCGCCTCCAGAGGTCACCTGGTCCACCCACTCTGCTCAAGCAGGGCCACCAAGAGCTCATTGCCCAGGACCATGCCCTGACAGGTTATGGTTATCTCTAAGGATGGAGATGCCATAGTCTGCTTGGGCAACTTGGTCACCATGACAGTAAAATATTGTTTCCTGATGTTCAGACAGATACTCCTCTTTCAGGTTGTGCCCATTACCTCTGGTCCTGTCATTGGGCACCACTGAAAAAAAGGCTGGCTCCATTCGCTTTGCGCTTTCCCTTCAGGTCTTTACACACATTGATAAGATCCTCCCTGAACCTCCCCTTCTCCAGGCTGGACAGTCCCAGCTCTCTCAGCCTGTCATCACATGAGAGATGCTCCAGTTCCTTCACTATTTTTGTGGCCCTTCACTGGACTTCCTCCAGCATGCCCATGTCTCTTGTACTGGGGAGCCCAGAACTGGACGCAGTACTCCAGGTGTGGCCTCACCAGCGCAGGGTAGAGGAAAAGGATCACCTCCCTCCACCTGCTGGCAATACTCTGCCTAACACAGACAAGGATACCACTCGCCTTCTTTGTTGTAAGGGCACACTGCTGGCTCATGTTCAACTTGGTGTCCAGCAGGACCCCCAGGGCCTTTTCTGCGAAGCTGCTCTCCAGGATACACGGTGCCCCACTATCCAGATCATTAATGGTCAAGACTGGACCTGGTATTGACCCCTGGTATACACTGCTAGTTACTGACCTCCCACTAGCCTCTGTGCTGCTGACCACCACCCTCGGGGCCTGGCCATTCAGCCAGTTTTCAACCCACATCACTGTCTGCTTATCCAGCCCATAATTCACCAGCTTTTCTACGGGGATCTTACGGGAGACAGTACCGACTGTCTCCCACAATAATAAAACACTCAGTAACACTTTTTATCCAAATAGATACGTGTCCCTAAAAGGTTATATACTAGTTTGGCTGTACAAAAATAAGGAAATACACCATCTTAGTTATTTGAAAACCTGTGAAAATATTTTAATTTCATAAAGATCCTGAATATTTTCTCAAAAAATATTTAAGCGGATCTGTGTCAAGGTGACAATTTTCTTAACACAGAATACTAAAGATAGAATATCTTTTGGATAATGAGAGTGACAGTCATTCATTTTACTGCATTAAACTTGTATTGGAGATTTGGTGTCAGTCTAGCCAGACAAAAAGGGTTTTTCCATCTGACTTTTATTCTAAGGAAGTTAGCTGTTTATATCATCTCCCTCTGTAGTCAATGGAGAGAAATCATTACCTTCTTGAAGCATTTATCCTTTACTAATACAGTAATACTAACCGACTTCCACTGACTAGCTGAGAAATCAGAATTTTTGATTCTGAAAATCAGAGGATCTCAAATCTTATTTTTAAAAACAATCAGCACTAAAGAAAAAACACACTAAGTTGCAAAAAAAAAAATTGAAGTAACAATTTTAAAATGAAAAATTATGGTAGAAACGGTTTTAAAAGTTTGTTATTTGATGAAATTTACCTGTCCTAACTCTTCATTGAGATCAGAAGTATTCACCAGTGGTCCTTCACCTGTGTCCTCATCAAACATTTCCTCATCCCATGTAAGGAAATAAGAACCAAGAAATTTCTGCATTTCCACAGTGACATACATGGATACAGGAATAATGTAGTTGAAAAGAACCATGAATGCAAGGAAGTCTGTAAAAGCACGAAGAAACTGCCAAAGAAACAAGAGGAAAATATTAATTTTTCATGTACCACCAAAAATCAAAATATGACTACATATATTTGCAAATTATTTTTTTTTCTAATAACCTTCAAACACTAAGCAACACCTTTCACAGCTCACAGTTCAGCACAGGATCTATACCTTCATGATTTGTAACATCACAAGTGATTTGGCAAGAAGAAAAAAACTTTTTTGTTTTAACTTTGCATTTTTCTTTACAGGCATGCAGGTGTAGAGTGCAGTTACACATCATTGTTGTAAAGTTGTAGAGCAACTAAAGAGAGTAATTACATACAAACGGTGAACACCTGTATGAGAACAAGGAAAGCGATAAAAAGTACATTCATAAATTACCAGAAGAATACCAGAAAACTAAGTAACTCATTCAAGGATTATCAAATTACATAAAAATTTCAGGCAGCATTTCATTAATAAATAAAGGGTTCCTCTTCCTTCTCTCAACACAAGTAGAATGTGTGCACATAATGCGGCTCAATGTTTGGACTGGGGGAGACTGGTTGGAGTTATAGTCAACCTGCTGGGCAGGTTAAGATAGTGTTACTAGTGGTAATGAGAAACCTATACCATGCCTCGCTAGCATGTGCTTATCATGCATTTAGGATAAAGAAGGAAATTTTCCACTAGTCTGATTGGAAGGATTTCAAAGCCTTTGACATGGTCCCTCACCACATCCTTCTCTCAAAATTGGAGAGGTATGGATTTGAATTATGGACTGTTCAATGGATAAAGAATTGGTTGGCTGGTTGCAGCCAAAGGGTTGTGGTCAACAGTTCTATGCCTGGGTGGAGGTCAGTCACAAGTGGTGTCCCTCAAGGGTCTGTCTTGGGACCAGTGCTCTTCAACATCTTTATCATTAACATAGATGAGGGAATCGAGTGTACCCTCAGCAAATTTGCTGACAACACCAAGCTGAGTGGTGCAGTCCATACAACAAAGGGAACGGATGCCATCCAGAGGGACCTGGACAGCCTGGAGAAGTGGGCCCATGAAAACCTAATGAGGTTCAACAAGGCTAAGTGCAAGGTGTTGCACTTGGGCTGGGGCAATCCCAGGTACTTGTATAGACTGGGAGAAGAGAGCAGCCCTGCAGAGAAGGACTTGGGGGTTCTGGTGGACAAGGCGCTGGAGATGAGCCAGCAGTGTGCGCTTG